CCATATGCGTATCATGACTCAAATCAACCAGCTGAAAGAAGAAACCAGAAGGTCAGCTCTTCCTGGATTGCGGCTGGGAGGGCTGGGACGAAGCGCTGGGGTTGGGGCTGCACTAAGCCACTGTTCAGTGGTGCAGCTAGTTCAGTGTTTCTCAACCTTGGTGACTTGAAGTCCCGTGGACTTCAACTTCCAGAATCCCCCAGCCTGGGGATTCTGGGAGTTGAAGTCCACGGGACTTCAAGTCGCCAAGGTTGAGAAACACTGAACTAGCTGCACCACTGAACAGTGGCTTAGTGCAGCTCCAACCCCAGCGCTTCGTCCCAGCCCTCCCAGCCGCAATCCAGGAAGAGCTGACCTTCTGGTTTCTTCTTGCAGATGGTTGAGTTGAGTCATGAGGGGCAAATGGCTCTTGAAGGGAGGCTGGGAATCCAGCCAACTGTTGGTGTCTGTGCCAATTCCGGATGTTGGCGTATCCGCACTGTCCTTGAGGTCGCTCTCATGCTTTTTCAAAGACGGAGGCTGCTCAGTCAAAAGTGGCTCCTCGTGTTCTCTAGTGCCCGGGTGATTCTGGCTTTCCTCCTGCAAATTCTGCGGCTGCACCTTGAGTTCTGGAAGAGCGAGTGAGAGTTGTGAGCAAGGCATGAAACGAAAACTGCAGGAAGAGGCCATCGCGGCTAGTACAGGGTGACTTGAAACCTGAGGTGGATAATCTCACAAAATGGCTGTCAATGAAGTGGGGAAATCACGACTGCACAAAATGGCTTCCAAGCGGCTGAAAACGGGGGAGGGCTGTCTCTTTGCCTCCTCCTCAGATGCTTTTAACTTCATGAGTTTATCCTTTATTTTGGATAAATAAAGGATAAACTCCTTTATTTGGAATTGGGTTACATTCTCCCATCCTTTAATTGTCTTCTAGAGAATTCTATAGGCAGAAGGAGGCACAGAGGCCCTCTAAAAAAAAATAAGTTATTTCTGGCGCTGTGCTTTGCACCAAGCAGCACTTCACCCCTCCTCCCCTTTTTAATTAAATACCTCTGCAAATACACGAAGGGAGGCAGGAAACCTGACAAAGGAGGTGCCTGCTAATTCACCAATGCCCATAGATAGATGGTAGGAGTAAACAAAAAGTAAGAACAAACGAACAACCTATTCTGTCATGAAGAAAATATTTCAGGTTCAATCCAGACATCTCCAGTTCAAGGGACAGAGCAGTTTTTAAAAAGTCTCCAAGATTTTTTAGATACTCTGGTCCTACATGATCTTGGTGAATTGGGATGTCACAGGGGAAAAAAAAAAACATTCCTTAAGTTATGCAGAAGAGGGAGTTTTAGAAGATAACAGTTCTTCCTACAGAGATAAAAGGAGCCAAACTGTGCAAAAATTCTCTTCTTGACAGAACTAATCTATGTGCAATCTGTTTTTCGAAAAGAAAAACCCTTCAATGTAACAAAGTGACTCGCCTTACATCCCATATTCATCAGCGAAAGACCAATATTATTTTAAAACAAACAAGCAGCATTCTGCACCTTGTAATTATAGGGGGAAAAAAGGTCCTTATTATCTATTCCCCAGGATTTCCCTTTAATTCATGTGTGTCTCCTGTCCAAAATGGTTTCAGTCTTAACTCTAAGAGGCTGTTCTGCCTTTAGTATTTAACAAAACTCATTTCTCTCATTCTACATCTATGTCAGCATTTCTCAACCTGAACAGGCTGGATGGGGAATTCCAAGAATTACAGACATCCTTCAAATGGCTAAGGTTGAGAAACAATCTAGAGAAATGTGCATCGACCCATATAAAATGTCCTAGATCAGTGTTTCTCAACCTTGGTGACTTTAAGTCCTATGGACTTCAACTCCCAGAATTCCCTAGCCATCTGGCTGGGGGATTCTGGGAGTTGAGGTCCACAGGACTTAAAGTCGCCAAGGTTGAGAAACACTGTCCTAGATCAAAATAATGTTGCTTGACCAAACAATGGCTTGAGTGTTTTTGAAAAGTGATGGATTTTAGACATTGTTGTGTGTGGCCAGAGCGCAGATTCTTCCCTCCAGTTCTCAGCTCCAATGTCTGGGCTACTCTTGTTCTTATATTCAGGCCTAAACCAACTTTCTTCTCTCTCTCTTTTGTCCTACCTTCCAAGAGGACGGTAAAGGTTGCCTGTACCGCTTGCCCCATGAGATTATCCAGGGCGAACACCCAGTGTGGCTTAATCTGGAGCTTCCGTAGCATGTGCTTTACCTAGAGAGGTGGGAGAGAACAAGTGTGAGAAGGATGGGGCGTCCTCATTTAATGCAGCATGAGTCAGTCTTCCATTAGCCTTTCGCAACAGCAACAACACTTAGGCTTTCATAGCTCCCCAAAGTGCTTTACAGCACACTCTGGATGGTTTACAGTGTATTTGCTTATTGTCCTCATTAATCTGGGTTTTCGTTTTACCTACCTCGGAAGAATATACGGCTGAGTCAACTTTGAGCCCCATCAGGATCGAACTCCAGGCTGGGGGCACAGTTTGTCTGCAGTACTGCGCTTTAACCACTGCGCCACCAGGGTTCATTAAAGAACAGAGGGACTGAAACACCTCCGTAGGCCTAGATCCCTATATATCACAGAGAATGAGTTTACACACTATCCTGAATCATAGATAGGAGCACAACCACAGTAGCTTTTAAAAGGCACGGCTGTTCATTTGGATTGTTTGTGAATCAATTGAGTTTTCTTCAATATGCCATCATTAAACAAGACATGAGCTGTGGTGGCACAGTGGTTAGAATGCAGGATTGCAGGCTAATTCTGCTGACCGCCGGCAGTTCGATCCTGAGCGGCTCAAGGTTGACTCAGCTTTTCATCCTCAGAGGTTTAGTAAAATGAGGACCCAGAATTGTTAGGGGCAATAGGCTGACTCTGTAAACCACTTAGAGAGGGCTGGAAAGCACTGTGAAGTGGTATCAAAGTCTATTGCTACTGCTTGATTTAGAGCAGTGAATTGAATCACAGAGACAGGCCAGTCCAGCTGCATTGGCTTTTCAGAAACCTTCCAGGTTTAGAAGAGATTAGACAACTCTGATTTGCTAGGCCATCATTCCAGAGATATTTTCTTACCTAAGCAAGTTTGAGGTTGAGTTTCATTTTATTTATATGCCGCCCTATTCCCTACGGGACTCAGGGCGGCGCACAAACCCGAAGGAGGGGAATGGAATGGAATGACCACGGATGAACAAAGAAGCAAAAATTCACCAACTTGCAATGCCATGGGAGTTATAGTTCCAGATTTGGGGTGCACTCTTTAAATTAGCCCATTTGAGGTACAGTATGTCAATTCAAAAATGGTTGCCTCGTGATGCACTGTTTTGCCCAATTGAAGGTTCCATAAAATCAAATGGAGTTTAAATGGTATATGGAATCCCAGTTGTAGCAAATCTTAAGGAAGCTAAAGACTAATTCCTGGAATGCTAATCATGAGATACTCACAGTGTCCTGGAAGGCAAAGAGTGGAGCCTGCACCTGACAAAAACTCAGCCCGTCAGACTGGAAGTGATCTTGTAACTGGAGCAGGCTTTGAGCCAGCTGTTTGCGGCTTGGGGAACGGATGTAGCTCTTGAGACAGGATACCAGCTCAGAGATGTGTGCCAATGACAGCACCTTCTGTGGAGGAGAAGCAGAGTAACACAAGGCCCGCATAGAATATAGATCCAGGAATAACTGCAGCAAGATCTCTATCGTACATGCACAAAGATGGAATACCCACAGTGGAAGATGAGATTACAAAATGGACAAAACTGATGGACATTTATTTTTTATTATTCACTAGCTGATAACCTGGCATAGCCGGGTATGTATTTATCCTAATCCTGTATTAGAGGGAGCCCCCTTGTGGAGTACTACAAAACTGTTACCATGGGGAATCCACTGTGCTGTACAGTAGAAGCCATTTTAAGGCACAACAGACTGTATCTTAACAGAACTTAAATCCAAAATGCACACTATCACTGTCAAAGGTACTGTGACTTGCTGCTCTAGATATAATTCAGTCCTTTTCATTTCAGTGGCCCAAGCGTTCTGGAGTTATGCTGGAACCCCCACACCATGGACACACACCCCCTGAGGAGTGTTAGGGGTGTCTTACCCCCACAGTATTTGTTTCCAGAGAGGAAGTCATCTGTGTACCAAGTTTGGCTGACACTGCTTGAGGAGTTCCAGAGTTTTGCTGGTACACACACACACAAAAGAGGAGCAAAAAAGGTGGAGTGTTCGCAGGAGACAATTAGTTCATTCCTGCATTCTTGCCAAGTATTGCGGCGTCTGAAAGATATCGGCCTGGCCACTCTCCAAGCCCAATAAAGGTCGGTAATGGTGAACTACCCTGAAAGACTGTGGGAGAGGAAAGACTTTGCTGGACAGGAATTCACTGTAAATTAAATAAAAGGGGTTTACAAGGACT